TAAAGCTTAGAGGCCAGGGTGCACATATGAGAGAGAATGTAAGGGTTTCCTCTTTGAGCCCAAGTTTCCTCACTTGATATATTTCCAGTGTTAAAATTTTTCTTATAAATTTCATAATTTTATTCCTTATGACAGTAAAATTCCATAGTGTATATGTACCAATTTATAAGTTTTTATTCACCAGTAGATGAATACCTTTGCTGACTCTATTTCCCTGCTATTTTAAATAGAGTAGAAATAAATATAGTTGTGCAGTTAACTCTAAAGAATCCTTTATGTACATGATCAGAAATAATATGGATGAAAGTTGTAGTTTTTTTCTTTGTTTGTTTGTTTGTTTGTTTGCTTTTCGAGAGACAGGATTTCTCCATGAAGTTTTTGGTGCCCGTTCTGGATCTTGCTCTGTAGACCAGGGTGGCCTCAGACTCACAGAGATCTGCCTGGCCCTGCCTGCCAAATGCTGGGATTAAAGCCTACTTTTATATTTATTTTGAGAATTCTTTGCAAGGCTTTCTGTGATTTATGTACCAGTTTTACTCTCACCATCAATAAAGATTCCCTTTCTCCACATCCTTGCCAGACCAGAATTTGTTGTCATATGTTTTACTGATGACAGCTATTCCAACCATAATGAGATAGAATCTAAAAGTAGATCTAATTTGCATGTCCTTGATAGCAAATATGCTGCCATTGATGTCTTTGACCTGTTTAGAGTTTATTTTGTACAGGATGATAGATAAGTCTAATTCCATTATTCTACATGTGTACTCCCAGGATCACATGTTAAAGATGTTGTATGTTCTCAAATTTGTGTTTTTGGGAAGTATCAGGTGGCTGTAATCATATGTACTCACATGTGTGTCTTCTATTTTGCTCCATAGATCTATGTGTCTGCTTTTGTGCCACTACCATGCTGTTTTTATTATTATACCTCTGTAATATAACATGAAATCTGGTGGGTAAACCCTGCAGCATTGTTTGGTTTTGCTCTGGATTGCTTGAGTATTGGGAGTCTTGTGTGCTTTTATAAAGTTTAGAATATTATTTCCATTTCTGTGGAGCATGTCATTTCTTTTACTCTCTCTCTCTCTCTCTCTCTCTCTCTCTCTCTCTCTCTCTCTCTCTGTCTGTCTCTCTCTCTCTCTCTCTCTCTGTCATCGTATTGCTCTAGGTAAGACTTCAAGAACAATTTTGAAGTCATGGAGAAAGCAAACATCCTTTTTTTTTTGTTTTTCAAGACAGGCTTTCTCTGTGTAGTTTTAGTGTCTCTCCTGGATCTCACTCTGTAGACCAAGCTGTTCTCGAACTCACAGAGATGTGCCTGGCTCTGCGTTCCGAGTGCTGGGATTAAAGGCGTGCACCGCCGCCACCACCACCCAGTGACATCCTTCTCTTGTTTCTGAGCTTTATAGAAATACTTTGTGTGTTTTCTCCATTTAGCTTGATGTTGGTTACAAATTATATGTATGTGTAAATATATACACATATAGATACATATATAAAACATATATATTATATATGTGTGTATATAACATATATATGAGTATATATATATATATATATATAGCCTTTATTTTATTGATGTATACCCCCCCAATTTCTGATATTTTCATAGTTTTTATCTGAGGGTAATGTTGGATTTTATCAAAGGCTTTTTAACATATTTTTTTTCTCTGAATCCATGTGGGCAGTCAAATGTAGTAGGTAGGTTTCTCTGGTCCCACCAAGCCCC